TGTGTGTGTGTGTGTGTGTGTGTGTGTGTGTGTGTGTGTGTGTGTGTGTGTGTGTGTGTATGTGTGTATGTACACACAAATATGAATTTGTTGTAATATTATATACATATATATAATATATAAAAGATAAATTTTTTTGTAATTCGTCTATTAATAAAAGAAGGGTTTCACTATAATATCAAATAAGTGGCTGTTCAAATTATTTCCTTGTTTAAATATCAAGCAAACTGGCAACAGAAGTTTTAATTTTAAAATCGTATTACAGACAAGAGAATTTTCCTCGGAGGGAGAAACGACGGACGGACAACGCCGTTAATTTTTCAACCTAGCACGCGCGGTAGGATTGACCTAACTAGAACGGATTAAGGATATAGCGTTTGTTGTAGGCGCATAGATCACGATGATGAGCCGTAACGAGTGCGTGTCGAGCGAGCGGCGGGACGATCGTACGCGCAGGGCGGGAGGGGGGGGGAGGGAGGGGAGGGGGAACACGGGGGTTCCGTATGCATACGTATGTACGACAGGAGCGCGATTCGAGTACGCTCGCGCTCAAGCGCGATCGGCGCTGAGTGAGTTGGAGGTCGGAGGTGTATATTGGCCATTTCCGCAGGAAGCCCCTAGGTAACCTGTAACCGCCATTGAGTTTCCAACTGAACGTGCCGCGAATCTGTGCTATCGTCTCATAACACGGCATAGCATAGCTTGCGCTCTGGATCTGCTCGCATCGCGCCCCCGAAACGCCAATTCCTCGACCTCTCCACCGAGGTCGTCTCTCTCGCGACAATGTAGTAATTTACACCTTTACGTGTACCTCCACGTGCTACCATTCGCTAACCACCATTCACACGAGCGGGTAGCAGGTGCGTCGTTCCGTCCCGCACTTTTTTCAATGCTGAGTGATACCAAACATTGCTGTATCAACACAAATATAACGCTAAATACTTATATTAACGATTGATTAGTGATTTGCAAACAGATCAAAACAAATGCCTTTTTAATAAACTATGTACATATAACTTATTCCTCTGAGATTTGTAACTTTTTGTGATAAACTCCTCCGATGAGAACGGCCTTGACGTGGCGGAAGTACTCCGAGGGATTCCGCAATCCCAAAGACGAAGAA